TGGTATAGTAAGGCATAAAATGTCAAAAAACAACATAGTATGGTAAGGCAAAAAACAGTCATTGTATAGTAAGGCATAAAAACGTCAAAAAACAACATAGTATAGTGGGGCATAAAATAGTCATAGTATAGTAAGGCATAAAAAAGTCATAGCCTTACTATACTATGTTTTTTGAAATTTTTATGCCTTACTATACTATGACTTTTTTGCCTTACTATACAATGATGTTTTTTTGACTTTTTATGCCTTACCATACTATGTTGTTTTTTGACGTTATTATGTCTTACTATACTATGATGTTTTTTGACATTTTTATGCCTTACTATACTATGACCTTTTTTGACGTTTTTATGCCTCATTATACTATGATCTTTTTATGCCTTACTATACTATGACTTTTTTTGCCTTACTATACAATGTTTTTTTGACATTTTTATGCCTTACAATACTATGATTTTTTAATGACTTACTATATACTGTGATGTTTTTTGACATTTTTATGCCTTACTATAACATGACTTTTTTATGCCTTACAATACTATGACTTTTTTATGCCTTACTATACTATGATGTTTTTTTGACTTTTTATGCCTTAATATACTATGATCTTTTTATGCCTTACTATACTATGACCTTTTTTGACGTTTTTATGCCTTATTATACTATGATCTTTTTATGCCTTACTATACTATCACTTTTTTTGCCTTACTATACAATGATGTTTTTTTGACATTTTTATGCCTTACTATACTATGATGTTTTTTGACTTTTTTTTGTCTTACTATACTATGATGTTTTTTGACTTTTTTTTGTCTTACTATACTATGATGTTTTTTGACTTTTTTTTGTCTTACTATACTATGATGTTTTTTGACTTTTTTTTGTCTTACTATACTATGATGTTTTTTGACTTTTTTTTGTCTTACTATACTATGATGTTTTTTGACTTTTTTTTGTCTTACTATACTATGATGTTTTTTGACTTTTTTTTGTCTTACTATACTATGATGTTTTTTGACTTTTTTTTGTCTTACTATACTATGATGTTTTTTGACTTTTTTTTGTCTTACTATACTATGATGTTTTTTGACTTTTTTTTGTCTTACTATACTATGATGTTTTTTGACTTTTTTTTGTCTTACTATACTATGATGTTTTTTGACTTTTTTTTGTCTTACTATACTATGATGTTTTTTGACTTTTTTTTGTCTTACTATACTATGATGTTTTTTGACTTTTTTTTGTCTTACTATACTATGATGTTTTTTGACTTTTTTTTGTCTTACTATACTATGATGTTTTTTGACTTTTTTTTGTCTTACTATACTATGATGTTTTTTGACTTTTTTTTGTCTTACTATACTATGATGTTTTTTGACTTTTTTTTGTCTTACTATACTATGATGTTTTTTGACTTTTTTTTGTCTTACTATACTATGACTTTTTTATGCCTTACAATACTATGATCTTTTTATGCCTTACTATACTATGACCTTTTTATGCCTTACTTCACTATGACTTTTTTGTGCCTTACTATACAATGATCATGGTATACTAAGGCATAAAAAAGTCATAGTATAACAAGGCATAAAAAAGTCACTGTCAAAAAACATCATAGTATAGTAAGGCATAAAAATGTCAAAAAACATCATAGTATAATAAGGCATAAAAAGTCATAGTATAATAAGGCATAAAAAGTCATAGTATAATAAGGCATAAAAAGTCATAGTATAATAAGGCATAAAAAGTCATAGTATAATAAGGCATAAAAAGTCATAGTATAATAAGGCATAAAAAGTCATAGTATAATAAGGCATAAAAAGTCAT